CCAAGACTGATCACAGGAAGGCCGCGGCCACCGCACACCCGTTCCTATGCTGTCAGCCAGGCCACGCTGGAGCGGATTGGGGCTGTCCCCGTCATGGTGCCCGCCCAGAGCCGGGCCGGCTCCCTTGTGTAGGGTCATGCCAGTGGTCAAGAACCAAGCAAGGGGCCTCTTGTACCCAGTGGGGCAAAGAGACCCTACTCCTTCCTGAAAGGCGGCGAGGCAGCAGGGGGACACACACGCGCCTCTCCCCCCTGCCCTCCCTTTCCAAGGCTGCTGCTGGCCGGTGGGACAGTTCTGGCCATGCCACATCCCCCCACGGCTGTCGGGGCTCCTTGCGCTGGTGGATGCTGCAGATGTGCCAAGGCCGGGGGAGCAGGGAGGTCAGGATGCACGCCTGGCTGCTGGGCCCCGGCTGGGACGTGTGCCTGGCCCTGACCTCGGGGGGGACTTTTGCTTTTGTTTCCCCTTGGTTTTGTTGAAGGTCGATTCCATCCATTTGGGTCTTTCAGGGAGGTTTGGGGAGAGAGAGATATATATTATTTTTTTTTCCATTGTTGTTGCTGTTTTATTTCCAAGAGGATGACAGCCTGCACTGGGGCAAGGAGGGCTGAGCAGGGAGGGGTGCTGTGGCGGGGTATGCCTCACCATGGTGGCCCTGGCCCCCTCCTCATGTCCCTGGCCCCACTGCCAGACGAGGAAGGGCAGTGCACTGGGGCTGGGTGTGAGGAGGCATGGGCCAGGCCAGAGGAGCAAGACGGAGGTATAGCTACCAGCCTGGCCATGGGGATGGCTGGGTGATGACACAGACCAGGAAGCATTTGTCTTTGTTGCAGTTCTTTGCCCACCCCAACACGCACGCACACAGACACAGACAGGTCCTTGTCAGACTGGGTGTTTTTCCTGCACTAGCTTGGGGTGCCACCAAAGCCCTGTTCATGGCTGTGGAGGACGCAGCCATCTGAGCGTCTTTCCCTGAGACGCTCTGTTCAGGGCGAGAGGGTGCATCGCTGCTGCTGCTGCTGTAGGGCTTGCGTCTTTTTTTTTTTTTTCTTTTTGGGTGTTGCTGGGGTTATTCCGGAGGCAGAGAGGAGCAGGGTGGTGTGGCAGAGCAGCAGGCAGGTCCAGAGGTGTCTGCTGCCCCTGGGCTGCTCTGGTTCAGGGCAAGTGGCTTCAAACCCCACAGCTTTGGTGTTTGCATAGTAGGTTTTCCTTATTGGGCTATCCAGGACTGGCTGGCATGGCAGGGCACGTGTTGTGCTTGGGGTCCTCATATGGAGGCATCACAGTTTTGATTCCTACTCTCCCATGCACACAGACTTCCCAGATGTTGAGGCTGGCAGGATTCATTTCCAAATCTCTTTCCTTAGAAAGAGTAAAAGCAGGGGCTTAATGGAGGGGGTAACCCTGTGGAAGCCCACGTGCTATCTCTCTGTCTCCCCTACTTCCTGCAGTGTCCCAGGGACAGGTACTGGTGGCATCTGCCAATGGCTCTGCCATCTCCCCGCAGCCAGGGGGTGGTTGTGACTGTCACCTATCCTTTTTCTATTGCAACTAAATAGCCTTAATCAAAGCCAAGAGTTGAAACCTCTGAAGGAACCTGGTGCCATTTGGAGGGACGGACTGAGGGCTGGGACTGACCCTTCTAGAGAGCATTGGCTCAAAGGGGACATGCCTAGATGGGTGTCTCGGCCCTCCTGCATAACACCAACCCTTGCACATGTAAAGGCAGTGGTCACCTCCAAAAGCACCAGAGCCCTCCCAGGTCTGCTCTTGCAAGAGCAACGTGGGGAGTCACAGGTGACTTTCCGTAGCTCTCACATTGGAAAAAGGGTCTGTTTAAGCCAACAGACTCTTCTTCATCCCCACTTTCCTTTCCTGGCACGGCTTTACTTTCCCTAGCAGTACACAAACCTTGGGCAGGGCTTTCTGCCTGAGCGGTACCTTTCAAATGCAAGCACAGATACTGAGGAAGAGGGGGGAGAGGTGAGGTGAGGGCTGGGTTCCCACATGGACACACTGGCTTTTGGGGAGGTTGAGGGCTCCCAGGCAGCACTAGGTTTGAAGCTTGGCTGAGATTTTGTGCCTTCTTTGCTTAAAATAAAAAAGAAAAGAAAAGAAAAAAGAGAAAAAAATCCAACCTCCCTTCCTTCCCCCTCTTACACAAGTCCATCCACAATGGGTGCAAACCCCTGCGGTGGTGCAGGCAGGCGGTTGCTCTGTGTGTGTGTGTATACAGGTTTCACCGGAGCAGTCCTCTTTCGTGCCTGTCTGCTCACTTTGATGCTGGGTGGTAGGATTGACAGGGGGAAGACGACTGGCTTTAGAAACCCTAATGTGGGAGGAAAAAGAAGAAACAATCAAAGAAAAGCCCAGACACATGCTCTCTGCTTTTATAACAATCCCTGTGCAACATTTACAGGAACACTGCCCTCAGCAGGTCCCCTCCTCTACTGGGAAGGCTCTTCTGGTTCCTACCCTCCATGAGACTGTTTGCTCCTCTTTCTTTGTTCTTTCTAATTGTCTAAAATTCAATAAAACTTTATTCATATAAAAAAAGGACTTCTTACTGCCTGCTGCTGCTTTTTTTTCTCCCTCTACCTAATTCTGTAACTACAATGAATTTGGCTGTTAATACTCACCCCTGATATGACTGGCAGTAAGCAGCAACCATGCAACCAAGACCTGCATGTTATTAGTCCAGCCAGCTTGGTAGCAAACCCTGGTACTATAGCCTTGTTTTTCTCATTCATAATAGTCTGACACGTTGCCCTTGAAGGTACAATTTCCCAGGCTTGCAAGGTCTCTCATTCTCTAGACAAAGGTGAGTTTTATTTTCTGTTGTTTGGCATGGGAGATCCTTTGCTGCTTTGAGTGATGTGGGAAAATGCTTGTTTAAAATTGCCTAACTTTGCTCATGTGTTGGTTTTTCCAGTCTGAAACACAGCATGTTCAATCCAGATCTGAGGCAGTCACTAGGAAGGTCCTCACTGACTTTCTTGGGCATCTGAATAAGTTTGATGAGGGAAACTGTCAGGAAGTTAACAAAAGTGCTGATCCCCATAGACAGAGCATGGGAAATTTCACTGTCTGATCATTCACACTTCCAGGGCATAAGGGGACTGGGAAGCACACGCTTCTTAGTCCGTATCAACAGCTGCTAGCAGCAGGTTATTATCAGTTAGGGCAACCTGATGTTTTGCCAAAGATTTTGCATTTTTCTCTTCATGTTTCTTTTTTCCTGTTTCTTCTCTAAAATCCCCCAGATATTCTGAGAATGATTATTAAAACCAGAAACCTACCAATCTAACAGCAGTGGTAATTCAGCCCTGCTGCACATGTATCGTGTTCTCATTCCATGATATTTTTCAACACCTAGTTTAAAATACTCCTGTAAATGTGTTTTCAGCTATAGGCCTTACAGTAAATGAGATCACTGCATTGCAATTTTTGGAAAGTTGCCGTAGGAATCTTAATGTTTGCATTTTTCATCTTTTGATTGTGCAACCTTGATGCGACATTAATAGCATCTTTGCATTTTATTCCCATGATAGCCCTGTCAGTATTCTGCTATACTAGCCATTCCTTGCCACTGGCTTTTCCCCTTTTTTTTTTTTTTTTTCATCTTTTGATTGTGCAACCTTGATGCGACATTAATAGCATTTTTGTTTTTTTTCCCAATGATCCCCCTGTCATTTTTTTGTTATTTTAGCCATTCCTTGCCACTGGCTTGCCCCTTATGTCGTTCTTCTGCATGTCTCTGACTATTGATCCAGAGCAGAATTTCCTAAGATGGAGGATCGTTTACCAGGTTTGTGCAGCACCTAGTATGCTGGAGTTTTAGCCTGTAAATTGTACCTAGTGAGGCATTGCTGCAATATAAATATCTAGCCAAAAATAATACCAGTTAGAGGTTTTGATAGTGCTCCAGAGTAACTATTTATCATTAAAAAGCAAACAAAGGTTCAAGTTATTATAGTTGTAAGTGGAAGTCACTACTGAAATGCCTGAGTTTGCTGACAGCCTTCAACCCCAGCTGTGTAGAAGGGATTGACCACCACAGCAGGTGTCACGAAAGTTACTTTAAATGTCAGTGCCTATCGATTATATCACCTTCCACCAAAGAATATCAGAAGGAAACTTGTTCTAGCACAAGGATTAACTGTACATTTGAGTGCTGAGACAGACAAATAACCACGAGAGGATGCTTTACACTTTAGAAGTGGGTATCTTTTTAGAGGTCAGTGTAGATGAGAGCTCAATTTAAAACATTTGGAAAATCTGGACTGTTGACTGCCAGAAGTTTTTTTAACTTACACAGCTTTTGGACTTGGATCTGCTGATTCATCTGAACTAAAAAAAACACAAAATTACCCAGATGCATGCACTTCAACAAACTCTTGCCAGAACACAGATGAGTTTCCAGTGGAAGCCAGTCTATCAGATGCTGTCTTGTCCAAGACTGCCTGGCTTCCCCATGAGGACCTAGGATGATCACGAGATCAATCCTCCTCATATCATGGTTTAAGTCCTCATGAAGAGTACCTCAAATCAAGGTAGCCACAGATGACACTCAGGACTGAGGTAACTGGGTGATCGATTTGGTACTGGGCAGAGGAAATCAAACTGAAATTTTTTTTATGCCCCCAGCAAAAGGAAAAATATTGGGTGAATTTTCGTGATAAATTTCTGGTTTCATCAAACACATTGGTAAGTTTTTGCAGGTTACTGGATTTCTCTTGGAAACAACATTTTGCATTCCAGCTTCATCTACTTTAGGCACATAAGTGCCTTTCTGTGTCTGCACTCTAATCGGGATCTTCTGAGCCGTGGCGCTGCTGGTTTGTGAGCAAGTGGATGAGTCTGTGCCAACACCAAGTGCACCCAAAATGGTTCAGCAAAATCAGCAGATTCTGTTAAGAGAGCCTTGAACCTTTCTAAGACAGAGGGCAGGGAAAACTGAGGAAGCAGATCCCTTTCACATGTTGACTTCAGAGCAAACCCAACAAGCCCTCCTATTAACTCATATGGAGCAGAGCTGTTGTGAGCTATCTTGATGAATGAGTTGCCTTTCCCCCTCTGCTTTTTTCAAGTTCTGCTGGCCATCCTGCATGCAGCTTGCTGTCCTGATGCTA